CTCATGAAAGATCTCGGAGAAAGAATAGCTCTGCCCACCTAAACAAGGAGAGAGGCGCTCACAGTTTATACCACTGGATCAGCGTCTGGGCTGTACCAACTGGAGGCCTGAGCACTGCCCCTGTTTTACAGGTGCTGCCTTTCAAGAAAGACTCGGCATTCGCCTTTATTTTCATGTTCCATATCCAAGTTCAAAGCTTGACGCTTCCAAGTAAGAGAGGGGTGAGACAGTTGGTAACACACTACAGAAATGGTCCCTGAAAGTACAGTCTTGGGTCAGACAGTTGGGAGAGGTGGGAGCCCCATGCTGGAGCCTTCTGGGAAGCACATGCCCCAGAGCAGGGCTGATATAAGACGGGAGGAGGAATCCTGGCAGCAGGGAGACTGGAGAGGAGTCTTGGCAGAGGGAAGGGAGTTCCCATGTCAGTCAGCCTTGTATACCGGCACTGGCGATGTGCCTTACAGGTACCACACTAGTTCAGAGAAAGCATTTCCAACAGTTGGACAGGGAGCAGTGCCCGAAGCAACTTTAATATCCCTGGCATTCACTACACTAACTCTACAGAGATCTCCTCTTAAGAGCATGGATTAACAGGAGGAAATGTAAAGTGATGGGAAAAAATAATACAATGCAAGGGTAACAGGAGAAAAGTCTACCTCTAAAAATAACGTACTGTGAGTAAACTGTAAGGCCTCCTCCACATAAAAGCTAGATGATTACACTGTGTGGCCTCTGACTGTAACAGATGTACCGCTCTGGTGGAGGATGCTGGCGGGGGAGGCTGTGCATGTGTGAGGCACGGGCTACAGGGGCTTATCTGGGTACCTTCCGCTCAGTTTTATTGGGAAACTAAAGCTGCTCTAAAAAATAAAGTCTTAAGAAAACACTATCTGAAACAGCTGCAGAAAGTCACTATACAACCGGCTGATAGGGGATGGGGCAGTAACAAGATAAAGTGAAAAAGAAAGTAGGTAAGTTGAGAAACAAAAGCACAATAGCAAAATTAAACATTAAAAGAATATGGAACAGAAAGCAAATCTTGTCAGTGTTCTCAGAGGATAAACTCAACAGGGTTTCCAAGGAAAAGGAGGAAAAAAAACAACCCATGGCATAATGAGAGGTGGTACTAACTGCTGGGGAAAGGGGAGGGGCAGCCAAGTGAGAAAGAAGCATTTCTGAGGATAATCCGGGACAGACAGAACAGATAAACTACAACAAAGGAAGGATGGCAAGAAGGCAAGGAAGGGGAGGGGAGGAGAAG